CCAGCTTGGCCAACTTAATAGAACATAACATCAGATCACTGAGAAGGGATAATGCTACTTAGTTCACGTAACAGACACTAGTCACGCCCCGAACCATCCCTCCCTCAAGATTTCAATCTAACTAAACTTTGACGGTAACGGACAGGACGTGTGACAATACGCCCAGAGCGAGTAGTTGCTGGAGCAGGTCCTGGCTTCGACGGCGCAGCCAGATGAAACTGGCTCTAGTGCGCCTATTGCTGCGCCGTCGACTCGGATCGCTATGACGTCTAGCCCTGACAGTCTGTCAGGGCGCGGAGCGAGTGGCTTAGGCATCTTCGAAGTAGGTGCAAGCTCGGGACACCGAAACTTTAGGCTTGGGTGCTGAGTGGACTAACGTACGAAGTTGCACAACAGGCAGTGTTCCTGTAAAAGAGCTAAAAGAGCTTTCTCGAAGTCGTCTTTGTTCTTCTTCAGCAGCGATTTTGCTGTCTTCACTGCAGCTTCTGCTGCGCCGTTTGCCTGATGAAAGTGCGGGCTGCTAGTTGACGTAAAAACTCCCCCCCCCCAATTGCGTGCAAAACGTTGAAATTCGGATGACTGGAGAGGCTGGAACTGTGAGCCACTGTCGGTACAAATCCTGGTCGGAATTCCATGACGTGAAAACAATTTCTTGCAAACTTTAATGATGTCAATAGTCCTCATTCTCTCGAGACGAGCCAATTCGAAAAATCTCGAGAAATGGTCCAGCACAACTAAATGACCTTCAAGTTTGAACAAGTCCATTGAAACGATCTGCCACGGATAATCAGGCAACGTTGAGGGAAGAAGTGGCTCATGCCGATTCGACGCATGCTGAATACATGTGGGACAGCCCTTAATTTTCCTTTCTAAGTCGCTAGATATGTTTGGCCACCACATGGTGCTTTGAACACGACGTCTCGTCTTCGTAATTCCCATGTGACCTTTGTGTAGCTTGTTCAGCATCACGTTCCGCAAATCAGCAGGTATAATCATGCGATTGCCCCTCATGGATTCCCTCAATTACGCACAACTCATCTTGAAGGATAAAATTCTTGAAGTTCCAATGGC